CCAGAGCCCACCCCGCCAGAGCCAGAGGAGGAGATCTTAGGGTCCGATGATGAGGAGCAAGAGGATCCTGCAGATTACTGTAAAGGTGTGTACAATTCAGCACTGTCAATGAGGGTAAACACTGTCGTGCAGTTTTACCGCTGGTTCTTGGGAGGTGTTTAGAGACCTTATCTTTAATTATGGAATTTATTTATAAAACAACTGCTTATTTCAGGTCCAGATACACAATTGTCTTCAGCTTTACTTTTTCAAATAGCCATAGCTTATTTGTATGTTTTGCAATAAGTACACAAATACTGCATCCCTGTTTTCTTCCTCATGTGCTAGTTCCAAGAATAGAGAAGAAACTTTTCTCAATTGATTCTAGTTGTAAGAACAATAAAAACACCCAAAACAAAACACACAACCCCTCACACATTCTGAAAGGTTCTAAATTGCCTTCATCGACTACATTTGCTTTTTAATATATATATGTATATTTTTTTTTCCCCCTTTTCTCACGTGCACCAGCCTGAGATGTTACACTCCTTTTCCACATGTTGTCTTTCACAGCCCTCAGCATTGTCTGAGTATCTCTGCATCTTTGGCTTAGCTCCTGATTTCCATCATTTTTGTAGTTGCTTTTATCAAATTTGAGTTATCTATCATAGTAGATTTCAAGGATATGGATTTACTTTAGGAAACATCAGACTTTTATCACTTCAGATTAATGTTTTTGAACAGCCAAAAAGGACTGTAAGCACACTGACTATATCTAGTATTCTATATTCCACATATCTGTGAAGAAACACTTTCTGTGTCAAATCTGATGATGTTTTCTTAATCAGAAGTTCCTATGTAAGCCTGGAGGTGTGCTATTTTAAGAATTCCTTCTCCCAGCTTGGAACAAGTAGTTTTGTATCTTCAGATTTAACAATTGAAAGTGACTGTGCCGTTTTGGTGTAAGAAGTTTTATTAGTATTTAATGAAATGTTTAAGTGGCTTACAGATACGAATAGTGAAAACCAAACAATAAACTCAAACTCAATGTTGAAGGCTGCAGCAGGGGAATGAAAGACAGGTCACTAAAGCACGTTAGTATTTTTTTTTTTAATTATTCCTGCTACAACACATTTGTTCCCTAAGAGAACTCTTTTGGTATCTGTATCATCTTCTATCAGTAAGTAAGGATTTGTTGTTTAAACATGTGTTTACTGTAAACATCTGTATTTCCTTGAGATTAAGTGTTTCAAGGCCCCCACTTAATTCTTCCCTGAAGTAAGGGCTGCTTTTAATTTCGAACAGTCCATTGTTGTCCCTTTTCTGGTATCTCTTGCAAAATGTCACCATCTGGAGAAACTAGATCACAAAGCAAACAAATAGTCTGAGTTTACAGTCTGTTTAGAAGTTACCTGTTTAGCTGGAGTCTTCGTGATGGTAGTAGGTCAGTAGTGTGATCTGTATGTTTTTAAAATTAACTATGTTACACTAAGAATATTTGCAAGTTTCTTGAAGAATTAGAGGGAACTTCTGTACACTTAAAGGTTCTTCTGAATTCTTCTGGTCTTCGAGCTCTGAACTGATGAAGTATATTAAAGACGATTCAAACTTTGGTTCATTTGGATGTCATAAATGTTATTTATTTCTGTGTCAACAGTGTTTTTGTTGCTCCACTAGATGATTTACTTATTTTCTGAGAGTAATTTCGTGTCAGATTGATGAGTATGATTCCTCCTTTCAGTCTGCTGGGAAAGATCACCATAAGGATCTGAATTGAGTGGCCAGATTGGGAAGCTCTGGGGCCATACAGAGTTTCTGTTTGTTCATTCTGTATTCAATATGGCAATGAATAAGTTACTTGGTAAAGAATTCCAGGGATTGTTTTTCTTTGAGAGGTGTATTATTAGTTTGAATATGCTTTTCTTTTTGAGTAACCTTACCCGTACTTACAAAGTAGAAGATAAATATTTGGGAATTCTATTTTATTCCTGGAGTGTCTCTCTCCTTCCTATTTTTATCTCCAAAACGCCAATCTCCCAGGATTTCTGAATGTTCTCAACCCCCTTCTAAAATGTCATAGGAGGGCAGTTTTGATGAGGGAGTATGTAACTGATTTTTTAACAGAATTCAGCCTTTTCCCTCTTAACTGTAATTCCCATTGCCGGTGTATTTTTGTTACTAATTTTTTCTTTTTAAGGGTATGTTACTATGTGGTGCGTTGACACCTTCACCACATTGCTTGGCAGTTAGTAAATAGTCATAATAGTGTTTTTAATGAGGAAATTTGGTTAGTTTGAATCAGCATCCGATGTGAAAGAGACAACTAACAGTTGTGGGTGTAAAGCAGACTAACCTCTGTTCCCTGGGGGCTTCCTCCAGGGCCTGTTTAAATCTGTGAAATGACTTCTGCTGGTGTCACTGAATTTACATTAAATGCTTTTCAAGTCTTTATTTGTTGCAGGAATGGACATATAAAAAGCCCAACTATGTGATTTTTCAGGGGCTACTTAGTGACGCTGGGTTTTCTCCTTTGAAAAGCCTTGAAACACTTAGAGGTTTTTTTTTTTTTTTTTTTTTTTTTCCAAGAGTCTGTTACATCATGGATGTAATGGGAATTGCTTTGCTTCTTTGGTCATCTTCTTTGCACCCTGGAGATGTCTCCCATTCATCCAGTTCACAAAGGGAATAATTCCCTATACAAACATAGAACTAGCTAGCTACAATTACCAATACATTCAGGAGACGTTTAGGAATAATGATCTCATTTTTCTGACCCTCTTTCTTGAGTGCATGTAGCTAGCTAGCTGGCTATGAGAGAGACTTTTTTTCTGTGTGTACTGCACTGAATAGCACAACAGGGGTTTTTTTGTACAGTATGAGCAGTGCCACTTAGACATTGTGTATTTTCAAATATCTATATTGTTTTTCAAAAAGTACATAATTTTTTCTCAACCTATTGATTTTGTATAGATGCTTTCTTGTTACTGCTATTTAGAAATACTTTGTCTATCATGAAGAACTTAAATAATTATGTTTGTCATAGGATGAAGTAATTTTTTAAAATGCATTTAACTACATTTAAGTTGTGTTGCTACCTGGTTGTCCAGAACCTGTAGATAAATATGGTGGTGACATGAATACTTGGGGAGTAACATGTCCAGGAATGGTATTGGATTATTTCCAAAACTGCTCCTGTTGTGGCTTAGGACAGTAGAAAGTATCTTGTCAAGTATATATACTCAGAGAACATGCTACTGCTATTGGTATCTGTAGTATATGCTCCTGTATTGCTATAATTAGTTATGACATTGCTGTAGGGACCAAAATAACATGACTTCTACATATATAGTATTGTTATTCTTGCAATATGTAGATTTTACTAAAATAATGTATCGACACTTAGTTTAACAACTTCAGTGCTGTTGGCTGATTTCCTTTGTGGGGTGTTATCTCTCCTGACAGTGATGGGGGAAAAACTATCCCAAGTTTTTTATTGTTTATGATCCTTTGAAGCACAAGTATGCCAAAAGCTATCTTCAGAGAGGCAGACTTACAAGGCACTTGTTTGCCTAAACTATTCTTAGAAACACACTTACCTCTATTTAAATTCTTAACCAGTGACTGTCATGCTGTTAATATGTTAAAAAAGCAAATACATTGTTTAGTGAAAAAAAAATTACTTCTGGCTATTGTTTCATGTATTTGAAGGCCTACTTACACCCTTTTGGGAGTGCAAAAGGCCACATTAATTGTGGGTACTTTCATATAACTATAAGAGAATGATTTAATAGGACTAGATATTTAAGAAGATTGTAGAATGTTCCAGAATTATTTGTATTGTTGAATTTTAAAATCTGTTTGCAAACCATAGAGAGGTGTTAAAACTAGCTGTTAAATACTTTTAGTTTTTCTAAGTATATCTGTTGGAAAAGAAATAATGGTTATACAGAGATTAACTTTTTATACTTCTTACTGTTTTCATGTAATGATACATGCAGGATGAAACTCAAATTGAAAGAAATGATACTTTGGTAGTGAATTAGGTGGAAGTATTTTACTCAGTTTTTGCTGTCAGGTCAACAGACTTGCTTCATTTCACAAATGCAAACTTTTTCAGTAATGGAAAAGTAGAATTGCTGGTGGAATTTACCAGAGTAGTAATTGTTTTTGTTTTAAACCAGCTGATAGCTGTCTTAAATATGACTATATTTAGTCTTTAAAATGTTTTCATCAGCTGTCACTGCATGTATAGTTAAACAGAGAAATGAAAATTTAATTTTGTTTTTAGTGTTTCTGTCGGTATGGATTTATATATAAAATAGATTTGAGCTTCATACGTAGCTGACACTGTTTGTTTTTGCAAATGAAGTGGTCAGCGTAACAGTCAACAGTTTTTCTCAGTAAGTCTGAGTCCCCCTTCATTTCCTGGAGTGTAAATCCGTTTGAGTGTTGCAAAAATTGTGTTTTCATTGGAAAGTAAGGAATTCCCACTTGGCAATGCTGCACATTCTTGGTGAGGTTGATACAATTCAGCCGTGGAAATGAAGGTATCTTTTTAAGTTGCTAGGTAGGTTGTCCTGGTAGCTCTTGATGAACATTCCCTTCACAGTTATGGAACAGAGAGTAGATCCCTCCTCTCACAAGTGAGTCCTGGGACTTAGTCCTAGGCTGAGTCTGTATGTCTTGATCTTAGTATAATCATAGAATGTTTTGGGTTGGAAAGGATCTTTAAGAGTCATCTAGTCCAACCTGCCCTGCAGTGAGCAGAGACGTCTGTAACTAGAGCGGGTTGCTCAGCACCCTGTCCAACATGACCTTGAATGTTTTCAAGGATGGGACATCTACCGCTTCTCTGAGCAACTGTTTCACTGCTCTTGTTGTAAAAAATGTCTTCCTTATATTTACTCTAAATCTCCTCTTTTGTAGTTTAAAACCATCATCCATTGTCCTATTGCAACAGGCCATGTTAAAAAGATTGTCCCCATCCTCCTTCTGTGATTCTTACAGGTCCCTGTTAAGTACTGAAAGGCTGCAATAAGGTATTTTTGAAACTTTATCTTTCTCAGGCTGAACAACCCCAGCGCTTTCAACCTTTCTTCACAGGAGGAGTGTTCCAGCCCTTATAACACCTTGTAGTGCTAGAGCCTTCTTTTTCCTTTACTCTTTTTTTAACTGAAAGTGTTGGTGTCTGTATACCTAGTGATTTGTGAAATGAAGTACTGAGTGTGATAGTAAAAATACATTTCTCATGAGTAAAAAATTTAAAGGTTGTTCTCCAATCTGGGTCTTCATAGATTTCTGTAAAATTTTAATGGAAAAGATGAAACTTCCAGCCCTTACTGCGAGGCTGGGGGAGCTGCTCTTCATGTCTCTGCCCATTGGACTCGTTTCTGTGCCTGGAGAACGTGCTCGACCTTCTGCGGTGGTATAAACTGGGAGGCAGCTGGGCAGGGAGGGGTGTGAAGTTGGTGCTGTGTGTAGCCAGGACTTGCACTGCCCATCTGCAATTAGTTGCTGCTGCCACTTGGTTTGGACTGGCCCCTGCCCAGACGAATACTTGCGAGTTCTGCTTCCCTTATGCTCTGGCCAGAGCTGCCTGAGTCTCTGCCAGCAGTGTTATGGCAGGAGCCATGCCGGATGGGTCAGCTTTTGGTTGAGGCAGTGAGCAAACCAGTGAGTGTCTGATACACTTGAAGTTACACCTTAATAGAATCATGGAATCATTTCAGTTGAAAAAGATCGAGTCCAATCACTAACCTATCACTGCCAGTTGAACACTATACGATGGGCCTAAGCAGCTGTCTACTTGTCTTTTAAATACCTCCAGGGATGGTGATTCAACCACTTCCCTGGGCAGCCTGATCCAATCCTTAACCCTTTCAGTGGAGACATTTTTCCTAATATCCAACCTAAACCATTGGTGCAACTTGAGGCCAATTCCTCTTGTCCTATCATTTGTTACTTGGGAAAAGAGTCTGACCCCCACCTCACTACAACCTTCTTTGAGGTAGTTGTAGAAGAGGGATAAGGTCTACCTCCCCTGAGTCTCCTTTTCTCCAGGCTAAGCAACCCCAGTTCCCTCAGTGGCTCCTCATAAGACTTGTTCTTCATCCTTCACCAGCTTCGTTGCCCTATTTTGAACAAGCTCCCAAATTTCACTGTCTGTCTTGTAGTGAAGGGCCCAAAACTGAACGTGATATTTGAGATGTGAACTTTTTGAAGCTGTATCTGTTTTAGAATTTCAGTTTGGACATACCAACATTTAAAGCGATACGTTATTTAAACTTTATCGTTCTGTTGAATATGGAATCTTTATAGTTCTACAGTACAATTGTGATAAATTTATTAATCTGCTGTGGAAGTATTCAAGGAACATTCACAAATAAACTCTTGAACTTATGTTAAGGTAAAAGATGTTACTAGCAAAGAAAGGATATAAATATATCTAGATATGATGTCACTGTTCAACAGATAAAAAGGTATTAAGAACCAAATCCAAGGAATTAAGTGATATGCACATTGTTGTCTTAAGAGTGGGTACCAGTTCTAACAAGATTTCAGGCGATTTCAAAACAAATGTAGCAATTTAGAGAAAGTAGTCTGGGGTATACTTAATTTTAAGTGGAATAGTCAATAATTGAGGATCCTGTCAAAGAACAGTTGCGTGTGACATTTTGAATGACCAGAGAGAGATGGTCTGATTAATAATCTTGTGTGATTACTGTCTTCTCTATATTTGACTGGGAGGAAGAATGCCTCTTAAAATACGAAGAAGATAAAAAGCTTAACTACACCTCCTTGCACTGCCTAGAAACCTGAGCTCCAGCCTGCTCTGTACTGTTGGCATTTCTATCTATTGGAGCTTTTGAGGACCTGTGTAGTGGTGTAAGTTAGGACTGCAGACTTCGGTAGTTAAAAGGCAGTTCAGACAAGGCCTGTAGCTGCCTGCTTTCTCTTCTTCCGCACTGTAAAAACCTCAGACATGAGAAAAATGCATTGCTGCTATGGGCAGCAGCCAAGCAGAAGCACATCAGTAACATCTGCAGTGTTCTGAATGTTTTCTCAGAAGGTATTTTATCGCTGCCTTTATTAGTAGAAAGCAAATGGGAATTAAAATAATCTCTGAGATTCTGCAATCATCCAAAATATGTTGACTGGAGAAGCTTCAAGTATCATAAAGAAATAATGTAGATCTTTTCTGTACTCTCTGTGAAGTGGAAGATAAGCCTGGGGAAATTGAGAACAGATGGTAATATTTCCACAAATAAAAGCCATAAGAGAGAAGGGTGAATAAACTCTAAAGTAGTTACAGGACATGATTTTTTTCCCTCCAGGCCCAGTAAAGCAGAAATGTGAACAATAGATTCAAATTTTCTTTAGATTTCCTGTTTATAGTACAGGAAAATTTGAAAAGGAAAATTTATACTACAACAATCACTTGAAAACTTGGGAATTATTGTTTGTTTCCTGAATATTCTTTCTCATTTTTTCATCAAAGGAGGCTATCATCCAGTGAAAATTGGTGATCTTTTCAATGGCCGCTATCATGTTATTAGAAAGTTAGGATGGGGACACTTCTCTACAGTCTGGCTATGCTGGGATATGCAGTAAGAATTTTTTCTTAATACATTATTTTGTTTGCAGTAACTTTTGTTTTAAGTGCATAATAAAATTATATAAATGTTTGCTACCTTTATGCAGAAAGATATCTGCAGTCTTATTTTGCTCTTGTTTAAGAGTATAGTTCATAAAAGAAACTCGCAAAGAAGTGTAATTGTGTTTTCTTCAACCAGTTGGCATTGCTTATTGAGATTGCATGTTGTCTTGAACATGTAAGCTAATGTTTTTGTTTCTGTTGTATTTTTAACGAAAAAATACAGTTACACCTTAATTGAATGATAAAACGTGTAACCAAATTCCATTTTAAAGACATTAGCATCAAGGAGAAAAAATATTCAATAAATCAGACTGTTAACAGAGTATTGTTAAAAGTTGTTTTTAAGTGTAATTTCAGTGTTTTCTGTCAGAATACATTGTTATGAAATCTTATGTTTAAAATTTCAGAACCTTCAGCATACGTGTATGTTAGCTCAGAGCACGTGTTGAAAATGTTTTGCTCTTTTCAAGGGGGAAAAGGTTCGTTGCAATGAAAGTTGTAAAAAGTGCCCAGCATTATACAGAGACAGCCTTGGATGAAATAAAGTTGCTCAAATGTGTAAGTATCACTTATGCGATACAGTGCAAAACAGTGTTAAACCAATAGTAATATGAATTTAAAAATGTACCAGAATATTGCTTTTAAACTTCTTTGACTTTTTTTTTCCTAAATAGCTGACTTATTATGTCGCCATGATCCTAGAGTTCCAAAATATTGTTTAACTTCATGTGAAAAGCTATCTAATTAGTATTTTGTTGTCAATTTCTTCATAAAATGTCAGTGTTTACATTCTTGGTTTAGGTTCGTGAAAGTGACCCTAATGATCCAAACAAGGATATGGTTGTACAGCTAATTGATGACTTCAAAATTTCTGGAATGAATGGCATTCGTATCCTTTTGAAAACATGACATCTTAATTAAAAATGATCTACTGAGATAAGTAAGCGTTTAGTTCTGTCTTTTTTCCTAGTTAGTCTTACTTTAAATATGTAATGTAGAAATACCAAAATATGCGTAGATGTGATGAGTAGTCCTGTGTGTAATGCACTCACCAGAGTTAAAGTAGCTTAGCTTTTACAAACACAATGCAAAGTAAAAGAAAAAAAATTCCCATGAATCTTCTCATGGTATGCTAGAGATAGGGATAATTAGTTTACTTAAAAACTGGAGTTCTACTGAGAAGATTTGTAATAACAGAGGCTTACAGGAAGATTGTTTTGATCTAGACTAGTAAAGAGAAAGTGTCATGAGGAGGCTGGTTTCTGTTTTCCTGTGGGAAGTGTAAGAGCATGGAGATTCTCCTCTTGTTTATGTGATCTGGTCTTGCCAGGTGGTAACCTCTTTTTTCACAAAGGTTTCAAAGCTTTACCTTTGAATAATTCTTTAAAAAACAAAACCAAACAAAACAAAACACCAAAAAAACCCAACCCAAAACAGACAAATGAGAGACAAAGTAAACTATGACTGCGTATTGTTCTGAGGGAGAATTTAGAGTGGAGCTCAAGTGAGTTATCCTTGCTAATTATATTAGATATTTAGCAGCTTATTATATTACTGGGCTTTCATTTACTGTTACAATGGAATTTATATGTATGCTTGTTGTGTCTTGGAGCCCTAATAACAGACCTCATTGTTCATGGTGCCAGACAAAGAGACAGTTCCTGCTGTAGAGAACTTAACACTAAGTTGATTTTGGTGATGTGCCTTCCATCTTCAACAGATCAGGTTAAGATACTCTTCAGCAGCTCTTGTCCTCTAGGAGATGACTGTCAGTTAATCTGAATGCCCACTAGAAAGCATCCTTTCAAGGAGGAGTGTGCAAGCAATTTCCATCCCATCTCTCTCTTGACATTAGTTATGAAGGCTTTGGGTTTGTGACAAGTGAGGATGAGAGTGTGGGGACAAATGTAGTCAGTTACAGAATGGCATCTTAACTGCTTTCCTGTTGTCCCATTTTGATTTGTTTCCTGGTTGCTTCAGTGGTCAGTTACCATGGTAGAAAGCTGCTTAAATATAGATGAAATTAGTGTAGTCTACTTTTTATCTAGGTTTTATCACCAAATTAAAATTAATTCAAAAAAACTGTACAGTTACCACTAGTCATTTCAACCTGAATATAAAAGACTTTTAATCAAGGAGATTGCTTAACACAGTGAAGCAAAGAACCCTTGTTAGGGTGTCTTGGTGCTGCTGCAGTGGTATAAAAAATAGATGTTAATTTATGAGCTGAGATGCTTATTAAGACTTTTTAATAAATATCTCTATTGTCTAACTATGTTCACAAAAAAAATAATGCGAGCAAAGCACTTCAGGTCTTCAACTGACAGCTGTACAATTGAAAAATAATTAAGGTTATTTTTAGAAATCAGAAATTTTGACTTGCTGTTCCTTGTAAAACATTAATATGAAATAAGGAATTAAAAAATGCGTTTATAACTACACATAGAAAGAACTCGTCTCTTATACTCTTGTTAGAGCAGTTTCCCAATAACATTCTAAAACTATTGTTAAGATTCACATGTATTAGACATTTATATTAAAGGTGAGAGCCATTTCTAAGTGTGAAGAGTAAATTTTTTGAGTGATATTTTGAAAGCATAGCAAAACTTTATCTAGTTGAAATATAGTGTTTAAGTTGATAAAGCCAAAAGAGACCATGTACTAGTGAAAAATAATGGTTCAGATCACTTTGTGTTAGCAGATTAAACCTCAACAGCTGGACAGATTTATTCTGTTTCAGTTTTATCTTCATGTTGAAAACTGTGGTAGTACAGAAGTTGTTTTATGTGGAAGGCAAATGTGCCTGCCTTACTGAGAAGTCCGTTTTTCAGAAAGCTACAGTAGATAGCATGGGCTGATACTGGACTCAAATTTGAATTACAGCTGGAAGTCAGTTAAAGTACTAACCACCAGTGAAAATACAATATCAAGTATCTTATGCTTTGATTTTTCTTTGTGAATAGCATCCTGAGTTGTATTGTTTATTTGAGCAGTGCTTGATTGCATTAATTATTTGATTAACTCCTTTTTATCTTCTAGGGAAAATAGTCTTTGGTGCAGGTCCTTTTGGGAGGGAGCAGGTAACTGATTTTAAAATTTTATTTGTTTCCATTTAAAAAATGCCATGTTAGAGCTGTGTGACCATTATTGAGTCAGGCTGAGAGAAATACTGTAATTTGAGTTTTTACGTGCTGTTTCCAGCTTCCTTTAGGCATGTCACGAAATAGCTGTTCCTTGACTGTAAAATAAAACAACATATGCTTCATAGAAGCTTAATTATTGGTTATGGAATAGATTTAAAAGTTAAAGCAAGACAGAGGAGAGATGGGTGAATTCCTTGGTTGGCTAATATCACAAAATATTGTGGATTTTCCAAAGAGGGAAACCTGTAAAGAACCATGTAGCACAGAGCTGGGAAGGTGCAGAGCCGTTGGCTTGCATGGTGTGTCTGAAAACACTCTTCTTTCTCCAAAGAGCTGTAGTGTTTGTCTACAGAGGAGTTTTAACAACGTGTGTTATGCTACACTAGACTGATAAATTTTTATAAACTATTGCAGTTAAGATTTTTTCAGGAAATAACAAAATTCCCAAACTTGAGCACTTTTGTATTCTCAGTAAGTGTAGATTATTAGTTTGTCTGCACTGGATATTTACTAGACCCTTAATGTTTATTTGAGTGCAGCATTTATAAAATGAAAGATCCAGATAATCGCAAAATGAAACAAGTGTTTGTAGAGACAAGAGAAAAAATAGAGGAGGAAACATTGCTGATACAATCAGAGATTTTAATAATTGTAATTATAAATTTGTCTCCAAAGAATATACAGCATTAATTAAGTTCCATAGAGCCTAAATGCTTCCAATCGAGAGTTCTGTGTTGGTACCAGAGCCTAATTTTATTTAGCTCAACTAGCCTTTAACCTCCATCAGATTTCTAAATGCTCCTGTAATGTGTATTTGTAGATAGGTAGTTACATATGTTTAGTCAAGAAAGCACAGTTGTAAGTTCTGAAGGCTGTGACCTCAGTGTTATGTTTGCTCTCACTTCTGCTGCTCTGCTCAGTTTCCCCCTTTCAGACATTCCCCAAACTGCTTTGAAGAACATTTCATAAGAGGCATGTCTGCTGGGTGGGCTTCAGGTTTATTTCGCTGGAGAGCTTTTTGGACGTACTGATCTGTTAGGATGTTGGTGCTGTAGGAAGATCCTGGGGCTTGCAAGGCTGGTTTCCTAGCAGTTAAAGCACAGCTTTTCCCAAACTCTTTGTTATGGTCACTCTGGCTTACAGTTTGTTTTTCAGGTCAGGATAGTAAGTCAGACAACAGTCACATTTTGCATACCTACTCCAAACACTGAGCCTCCTGTATGTCTTCTCCCCATCTGCCTCCTCAGTATGCCTTCAGTTTGTCCCAGTACTCCCAGCACAATGTTGCACTCTTTTCAGGTAGACTTCGCTTCTCTTTCATGTGGCCTTCCCTCTCTTTCTGCCTCTGCCATTCCTCCTTGCATCTTCCTTCTCAGTGCCTCCCCTTGCCTCTTAGCTGCTCACTTGCCCACACTCCTTTCTCTTGTGGTTACTGGCAAGGATTAGCACTTCTGCAAGCACAAGGAATGGCAGGAATGTGCACTGGAGAGTCTGCAGCAGCAGTCGTCTGAAGGACTGTGGGCGGGTGTCCTAAATTTCATTTCTGAACACTGCAGTGTCTTGCCTTCCTGAAATCTGTGTTGCTGTAGCATCGTAACTTCAGTGCGAGGGCTGAGTCAGTAAGCCCTGCAGAGCTGATGTGCTCCGTGTCTCCTCCTGGGTGCCTGTGTGCTTTGCTAGTGAATTCTCTTCACTGCATGCTTCTGTGGTAAAGTAACCAAGACTGTTTCCTCTTCTGAATGGAACAGAGATTTATAGTATTCTGAGTAGACTTTGTTGATGAGATTGGGAAATGATTATTCACTGTTTGCTCTAACACAAGAATTGAGGAACATAAAGTGAGATAAATGGCAATGATCAAAATGTTACTGGTTCCTCACAACGTGCTTTGACCAGTTGTGAGAACTTTTAGCTTTGATTTAACTCCAGCATAGGGGATGTAGATTTTAAAACTTCAGTTAGTTTTATGCTTATAGGTATGTACTTGAGAAGAATGTAAATGATATGCCAATAGACGAGGTCTCATTTTGACACAAGTTAAGACAGTGACTCTAAGATGATTACCAAGACTCTAATTTATTAAACTTAGAGAAGTTAGGTCAGATTTCTCCCCTAACAATGTAGTTCCCTGTGAACGGTCTCTGAAACAGTCTGATTTAATCCATTCAGATTTTCCTTCAGTATCCATCAATTAATTTTCTGTTGTTTGTGTTATTCTTTGCAAAATCATATTATCATGTAGTTAAGATTTTAACACGCTTTCCGATTTCCAGGGATGTTAAGGTCATGTCTGTGATTAACTCAGTATAATCAAATTACATAATTTCTTGCCAGAATGCTGTGGATAATAAAACTTAAAATTAGCTTGAATATCTTGAATATTGTCTCAGTAGAAGGATAACCCACCCAGGAATATTAAGTGTAGAATCTCTAACTTAAGAAGCCGTTGAACTACAAATCACTGGAAGTTCCTACATGTGTTTTTTCTTAATACTCTTCCCTGATCATCTGCTGTTGACCTCTGTTGGTGGCAAACTAAACTCTGTTGGTGGATCAAATTAAACTTTTTGGCATTGTTTTTTTGCATGTTGCTTCCAAATTTGCATTTTCTTTGTTCTGGAATTCTTTGGTGATTGTCATTAATATCTGTAGTTAAAAACGTAGGTGGTAAGAGATCCATTCTCTTACTACTTTTGTCGTTGTTATCAAATGATTCTTAATTGAGCCTAATCAAGGAGATACTTAGTATGGTTCATTTTCCAAAATTCTGTTGGTGCAGAATTTTGTTGTGAAAACCTTCTCTTAATATAATTTAAAATTTATTAGAAACGAGAGGTAATAGGTCAGATCAGTTTCTACATTTACCTGTTTCATTATTCACTCTGATGCTGTTGTTAATATGTAGAAATAACTGACAGGAATTTGCATAATAAAAATGTTTTATTTTCATTTGTTGTACATTGCGACACTGTTCTTGTATGTGTTTATGTATAATTGAAATGTATACTAAAGCGTATACCACGTTCTGCTCATTTTAGGTGGAACTGTTTTCCCTCTAAACAGAGTGATGATTGCTTTAGCCAGCGTGCAAACTAACATATGTGTTTACCTCATCAACAAGTTTATTCAGAAGTTGTCCTTAATTAAATACCAGATGTCTGTATGGTCTTTGAAGTACTTGGACATCATCTCCTAAAATGGATAATCAAATCCAATTATCAAGGCCTTCCTATCCGTTGTGTAAAAAGTATAATTCGACAGGTAAGATTTGTTCATGTTTTAATTAGGTTTTTCCACCATTGCTAACAGTTGAAGGATAGAATGATATTTCAACTAAACTCTTACTAATGAATGTGTAAGATAATGGAATTTTATTGGTAATCCTAGGACCCGTTTGTAAGAGCATCTTCCTGGATAAGTCTGCATTTCTGCATGCTGGATTATTTTGGAGTTGTTTTGGTTATTTGGGTTTCAGGTGTGTTGGTGGTGTGGGTGGTCTGTGTTTTTTTGGTTTTTTGTTTTTTTAAATCAAGACCTCCTGTTGATAAGGGAGTTGCCTGAACTGCTATGGAAAATGAAAAGTTGAAGCAATGAGTCTTTCTTGTAAATATAAGAATATTTGTATTTAATTGTGGTTTTGATTGACACGTCATGCTTTTTAATAAGATCTTCTGGAAAAGAAAACATCAGAACAGTGGGAAATAATTTATTATTGTAAAACTGAACAAAAATTTTATTTCTGTCTGAAAAATATGTTCTAAAGGAAAAAACTGTTTTTTGACCTGTTGTTGTCTGTAAGTTTTTGTAGAGTCAGAGTGTTAACAAGATGAAACAGTTAAGAACATTTAACTGCGAAAAGTTCTTTAAAAATATGTACTTCTGCTACACTATGAAAATAAAATTGTCAAGAGACGGTCTTTAGGAGAAATAGTGTCTCAGCAAGAAAATATATGTATCTCTGTGGTTTTGTTTATACTGTTAATCTATGTGCAGTTACTACCTACAAATGAAGTATTTTGGCTCTTAGGTAACGTGTATTGCCTTTCATCAGCATTGCCTCTATTTTATTGATAAGGAATCTGTTAAAGTAGGTGCTTTCTTTGTAATTACTAGTGGATGTCGACCAGTGTATAACAACCTATCAGGTCTTCAATCAGAATTAGCTAAAGAACCTGTTTGATGCAGTTGTTAGTATTCAGTTGCAATTTTAGGTCTATGCTTTTCTATACAAGTAGATGTTTCAGATAGTAGAAATAAGGAGCTGTAGTAATGCAGAGCTCCAGCTGAGCTGAGCTGCTGGCTACGGAACTGGAATCTGTCTTTGTATGGTACACACGTATAAATAGCCACTGTTTTCAGTAAACATTTGTCATTTTTTCGTTTGGAATGTTTTCACTTTGATTGCAGCATTGTACTGGAGTTTGGCCAAAACCTGAGAAATTAGGATATATTTTCTTGACACATGATGTTTAGCAGCAAATACAGGTTTAGGAGCTCCCGCCTGCAGTTTACTCTTACCTCAGTTACATTGCCTGTAGAACTGAATGGATCCAAGCTGGAAACAAGCCCTTTTTTGAGGGAAGGGGGGAATTTCTGAACCCAGCTTCACAACATCTTTACCAGCATTCTCCTATAATGTAGAAGAGGAGGACTTTCAGGTGGGATCTTCAGGGACGGTGACCACAAACCAGTGAGAAGTGAGGTCAGCAAGAACAAGGTCCTGAAGGGCAGAATTATGGGGGAGGTTTTCAGTGCTTTCTCTGATGATGACTGGGGGACCTGACTCAAGTGCCATATACAAATGCATACAGCACGGGGAACAAAGGGCAGGAATTAAAAATCTGTACCTGGTCTCGGGGCTGTGACCTCATTGTGAGCACAGTGGTGTGGTGGCATAGCTCAGATGCCTGGAGAGCAGCAGTATCCTGATAAATGCACTTCAGAAAAGATGTCCAGGGAAAAGGAGTTGAGTTTAAATGTTTGAACTATTTCTGTAGAATGGGTCAGGGTCAGAGAGGAGACCAACAAGGGTGACAGAATGTCATGCATCTTCTTCGGGCTGCCAGTTTCCAAAGTAGATGAAAAGCACCTTATTTAGACAACTTGAATAAGCAAGTTATGGGGGACTTCTAACTACCTAGATATCTGCTTTGATGGGGCACATGCAGTTAAAATTTATGGAGTGTACTGAGGACAGTTTCTTAGCATGGGGTGAGCTGTGTCTCAGCAAGGAGACAAGTTGGAGATGGACCTTGCTGGACTGGCTACAAATAAGGAAGAGCTAGTTGAAAATGTGAAGATTGATGGCAGGCTGGGCACAAGGCGTCCTGGTAAGACAAGTTGAATGTGTGTCAGTGTTGGGTTCCTGTTGTGATGAAACCTAACCATGTAGTAGTCCACAGTAGAAAGAGTATAGGTGGCTTCCAGGTACCAGGTGTTTGCTTACTAAAGTGAGTCCAGTTAAAGGCAACAAAGAGGATGAGTGAGTTGAGCACAGGGTGTATAAGAGGTCTTGGGAGAACTCGTTTGTTCTGTTTCGAGAAGAAAAGACTATTAGAGGGGGAAATGTGATCTTTTCAGCACAGACAGAAAATGGAGCCAAACTTCTCGTCTCTATACACAGAGATGGAATGAGAAGCAATGTGTATGGGTTACAGAAAGAGAAATTCAGGTTGCATGTTAGGAAGAGGTTCTATGCAGTGAGTGTGGAGGCACTGGAACAGATTGTGTACAGCGTTCCTGTGGGGTTGCATGGAGTTGCACAGTCCGTGTTTCAGGAGCTAGAAATGCACTGGATAACATCTCTGAGCAGTCTGATTTTGAGGTTAGATGCAGCTTTGAAGCTGGTGTAACTTAGATGGGAATGGTTTGAGTCATACAATCTTCCAACCTAAACCACTCTTCAAATGTAAGCAATGGTAAAAATTCCAAGTAATTTCAGCACTTAAAAGAGAACGGGTTAGTCCTGAAGGGTTAAAAAGTTTTAACTTTTATGGGATTTTAACTGTTTGGACTAGTGAGAGTGGCATTGACTGGTTGTTCATTGCGTTAAAGATAATACAGATCCTTATTCTTTCTTCTCAGGCAAAACTTATGCTACATGTGTTGTAAAACCTTAATTAGGAAACTTGAATAGGAAACAATTCAATTATTTTGCTGGTGTCACTCTACAGCAAACCATTTTGTTTCAGGAAGTACTATAATTCCATTCTACAACTGAAAGGAAATTTTTTTTATACTATGATTTGAAAAATATTTTTTCAATTTTTGAATTTGGTTTATTTCAAAATGCAGCTGAGAGTTGAGTTTCTTAATAAGAAATTTCATTTTGATTTCAAGCTTTTTTTTTTGCCCTCTGCAGTAGAGTTACATGAAATGTCATGCAAGAGAAGACCTTGCAAAATTGAAAAAACAGCTAGTTGCTGTAGTTCCTTTTTTGCAGTGGGGTTGATTAGAAGTGCCTATTTAATTCTGGAATCCTTACTTCAGGTTGTAAAAGGTATTATAGCATCAGTCACTTTTGAGAGGATCATGTTCTGAAACTGATGCTGATGCATCATGTATTTGATTAAAATTTTCACTTTCACTTTGATCTACAATATAGTAAATAATCTGTTTAATGGGTCAATGTGATATGGGTCCTTGAATGAAAAAGAAAAATAAATTAATATTAATTAGGAACAGCAAATTATTAGTTTCTTTATGTGAAACCAGCCATGTGACCGTTATAGAGGAAAAAAAATACAACCTTCTAATTTATGTTTTTGATCATAGTAACAGAATCTGTAATTTTTCAGTCACAATATATTATCCGTTTAACTTTTTTTTTCTATTTTCAGTGGACAAATAATAATAATAATGAAAAAAACCTAAAGTGTTTTCTGGGTTCTCCATCATCTCAAAGCACAGTGCAAAGCATGACCACGTTGTACACGTTTCCTTACTGGTTTAGCATTACAACGTGCTTCCAGTTTTTAGGATGGAGCAGTCTGATCCACATTTTAAGACAGCTAAGAATATTCTTTCTAATTATAAAATTCTAGCAGAATGGTCCTTATGGTAAGTCATGGAACAGTTTTGGATTCTAAAAAATATTCTGTTGGGGTTTTTTAATTTTTTTTTTTTTTTCCCAAAAAAATAACTTCATCCAAATTAAAGACAAAGCTGTCACCCTGACATTGTTACTTTTAAGGAGGAAAGGTTGTCTTTTTAAAATGGGAGATCTCAAATCTGGTTTCACATAAATTCCACTTCGCCACATTGCAGTGAAGCAGATATTGGTTTCTTCTGAATGTTTATGGCTTTCAGTGTACTCTGGAATTGTTTTTCTTGGCCTCAGAATTACAGACAATCATTGGTAATCTATAAAATGGTCTGTAGCATAGTGGGGGAGGGAAGAAACTATTATAATCCATGTTTATGTTGCAATTGCTGTTAATGCCTCTTCTAAAATTTGGAGTCGCTTAACCACTACCTTCCCAGTATAAATGAATCTTTCTTTAACATTACTTTCTTTGAGGCATACTGTGTGTTCTTTCATTTGCTTTGGCAAGCAATCAAGCATATTTTGGGTTTGCAGGAAAAAAATCCAAATTGTCAAGAATGGAGCAGATTTTAGGTGTACCGTTGGCACTGATGCCAAGTCCTGCTCAAGTGAACATACAGTTTTTATATAGACATATAAAGAAAACTTTTCAGGGTCGTTGCTTGTTCTGGTCTGGTTCCAGAACTGGAGAAAGCAGAGCCATGCACTGGAGTTGTTTCCAGGGTACATTAGTCTGAGTGTAAATATCATATGCTCACTGCTGCTCTTCTTCTCTTGAGCTGCCTTGTGTGCTGGATGGATGTACCAGTTCTGGTGCTAGCTCAGGAAAGGGTGGTAGACTAATGTCATTGTTTTCTGCTACTGGTATTTCGAACCAGCATGTTTAGCTTTTAAAGTTCACCCTAGCTAGTTATGTCTTGAAGGATCCCGAGGGCAAAGAGTTTGCTAATTTATTTGTAAAATACATAGAATGGCAAGATGTTGTCACTGGAGCTCATGAGTCTGAAGGTCTGTTTCCTGCTGTAGAACATTCTCTAAAAATCGAGAGAAATCTTGTAAGTGGAGTTAGCTAGGTGCTAGGTTTCTGCTTTTTTTCCTTTATTGCTAATATTTTTCTTCAATATTTCTGTAGATTATCATAACAGTAGCCCAATTTCTATGTTATTCTGTAAGTAATAATTGTAATAATTGACTTCCACAGTTTGTAATTCCCTCATCTTACCTGAAATATTTGTAAAATCACACTAACTATTGTATTTCCGTTCTAGTCAGAATTTGAGAAATTTTTTCATTGTGTAAAAACAATGTTTTAATTTTTGTCCCAGAATGCATTTTTAAGACTTTGGATATGCAGATTTGATATGAGCTAACAGAATTTAGCCTGCAGAAAGTATGAAAGACTAGTGGAAAAATACATGTGACAAATACAGGTATACAATTCTTTATGTGATGCCTTGGTCACAATGAAAGCTGAGTTACCATTGGCATTCTAAGTAAAACTATAGTTATCAGTTCATCCCAACAACACATTTCCCTTTTTACCTTATTTTTTTTGATACTCAGTTGTGAGATCATTATTCACAAACGGGACTTCAGCTGCAGCCTGTAGTACTTGCAGTGCTTTTTTTTGCATAACTATCTTTTAAGCAGTGAACCAATGAGGATCAACCTTTCTGACTGAGCAGTCAAATTCGTTTTTCAATGGAAGATGTATCAAGTGTTTTTATCCATATGCAGATCAACTAAAGAGCACTTGGGAAAAGGGAGTCTGAGAGCAGGCTGCTGTCATTGAGACGATTCATCCAGCTAGTGCCTTATTCATGAAAGTCTCAGTAACTGGCGTTATGACCTAAATTATCCCGTCAGGCCACATACGGACTGCAGGCAATCAGCTGAACATTTCTGTACTACTAATATATACATTTAGCTTGGCCTGGGTAATTAAAATAAATTTTAAAAAAAAATCATTTTGTAATTAGGTACTTCAAGGTCTAGATTATCTACACAGCAAGTGCAAGATCATTCATACGGATATAAAGCCAGAGAACATTTTGATGTGTGTGGATGACGCCTACGTGCGTAGGATGGCTGCTGAGGCTACTGAGTGGCAGAAGGCTGGTGCTCCTCCTCCCTCTGGCTCAGCAGGTATGATAGTAAAGTTCCATCAGTATGTTAATGCTAACAATGTTTTGTTTAATGAAAATTAACATTTTAAATAATCATACGTGAAAAGTGGATGTCTAGTTAATTCTAATTAATGCTCTGGAAGCTACCAGGGAAATGCTTTTTTATCAGTTTTGCATGTTCAAGTTTTTGGGGTCCACAGATGCAGAAAAAGATTTATTGGTATGAACTTATTCCCCTCCTACCACACAAGCTTTAATGGTTGGGTTCTAGCTGCACTGGATCCTTGCATCTTTAATATTAGCAATAATTAATAATGTTACCTAAATTGTGTGTGCACTTCCGTTACAAGTTCATCAGCATCCTTGTGAAATTATCTGCATTTTTGTCAGTTATAACTTAATCTCAGAGTGCAGTGAAAAGTCTTAGAATTCAGTTTTTCACCCTTAAAAATGGAATTATTGTACCTAACTGAATTTATGATAAGCCCTTCTTGCTAGCACTGTATATGAGATGTTTTATGTTAAACTTACTGAGAGTTTAGACAGGAACTATACACTTCGTTTAGCTAGGAGGAACCAAGGTAAAAAAGTTCACAGCAATCAATAAAGGCAAGCACGGAGGAGGTGTTGAATTCCTAGTGATCTTCAGTACCATGGTTGCTTTTTATTTGCCAGCTGAGTATATCAGCTACAGGCAGTGGAGAAATAACATTTAAATAGCTTTGTAATATTGTCAGAAAATATATCACAGATTAAAATCTCAAGTATAATAAAAATACTTTCTATATCAGGAAAAAATACTGTCTTCAAAATGTATGAATATTTCACAGCATTCTATATGTTAAGACGCAAAATCTTACAAATCATGAATATACTGTTTTACATGATGTGTAGTCACATAGCTAAAGACTGTATATTATTTGTGTGGGAAGTAACTTGATTTTGTTCATGTAGCCTTTATATTACTTCCTGACATTAAAATAAATACTATTTTGATGTATATATTGATGGAGTTCTTATCACACTTTGTTCTTAGCAAATTTTAGTTAAATCTATGGCTTTCCACACAGGAGCTAAAGATGTTTTTTCCTTATTGCATTTCAAGAACAAGTTCTGCATAATTTCCTTTTTTAGACCAGTGATAGTACTCAAGTTTAAGAATCTTTAGAAAACCTTGCCCTTTCAGGGACATACAAGCAGCTTTTTCCTGAACTTAGCAGCAGGAACTGAACCTGTAAAAGAACTCTGAAGTCCCAACTCTCTCCATTTTTTATTTTGCATTTGTTAATTGCCATATGCCTGTGTGTCTGAAGAAGTTAGTGAGAGGTTCTACTCCCCCGTTCAGTTCCACTTTGCTTCTGTCTCCCATATTTGGTTATTTCTATTGGCTTTGATTATGTGGGAGGAGGGGGGATGGCTTGTGTTGCTGTTATGTGCATTGTCACAGTTAATATTGTAATCTCATCAGATCTGGTCCCCCCTGTAGTACCCTTCTGAGAGATGCTCAGATGGGCTTTCTGTGGTGGTGTGCTTTTTGCTGTAGGGACTTCTTCATGCCTCCAGTCCTGGCAATCAAAGTACCTTGTTTCGGAACAAAGGAAACATGAATATTTGACTTTTCTGTTGAGTGCAACATGGGAGTCATCTTTGCTGATATTTCCTGAACTATTTAAAATCTTTCTGTACTTGCTCAGTCAGCTGACTACGTATGTTTAATCTGTGACAACACTGCAATCATTTAATCTTTTCTGTCCCCTCTTTACTGATTCAGACTTTTCTTTCTGACTTTCATTAACACTCTACCAACTGCAACAGAATGAACAGAAATTGATGCTAGCTTCTTCTAATTCCAGATATGCTAACGGATATATCAAATAATTCTAGGCAGTGGGTACTTGTTTAGAGTAAAAAAATCTGGCATACAAAAAAAAAAAACAACTCTGCTTTATATTTAGTTAATATTTTTACATGATTTCTATTACCTTCTGCTTTTATAGAGTTGTTTTTCTAAAACTATGTCTTTAAAATTTTTTTTTTTCTTTTTAGTGAGTACAGCTCCACAACAAAAGCCTGTAAGTATTGTTATATAATTCAAATTAACTTTCTAATTTTCTGTGTTTCTGTAGGTGTTAGTAGCTATTAGACTCTTGGTAGTCTCCACTGTTTTTAAAAGATCCTTTGAATAAAGTTTTTATCTTTCAAAGAACACTTTCCTTCTAATGTCTTTGGCCTTACTAGTTTTAAGCACAGCATTCCTCTGGTGGAAGCTCATAGGCTGAGAGTTCTGTAGCGAGGTCAGAGGAAGTTAAGTGTTTCCACCTGCATCTCTTGAGGAGCAACCCATTCTGTTCCAATCCTGACAAAAATGGGTGCATGCACGAAATATCAGACATTGCAGACAGCTTAAGGACTTCCAAGGCTTTAATTATCAAAGCCTTAAAGGAGAGGTGTTTTTTATGAGATTTGAAAGATCTTTTTGTCATATACATATAGCAAATAATCACTGATAAATACATCTGCTTAGAAAAACCTACAGTCAAATCCCCTTTCAATGTCTGTGTACAGAATGCCTGTAATTTCAGTGGGCATACCATATGGATGAAAACTAATAGGTTTGTCAAATTAACTGTCTTGTTTTGACTGTCCCATAGCTTCTTTTGAAGATAACAGGATTTACAGAGAAACTTTTGAGAAAATAATATTTCACTTTGTACTTTATTTTTGCATTATAGGACAATTTCTTACCATGAATGAATAAATAGATCCCATTTATCAAATAGTAAAAATGGAAGTCAGACTTCAGTTAAAATGTGTTTCAATCCTAGCTCATATGTGTTAATTTTTCATTTCCTTGTTATTTCACCTGAGTTTTTCAATCCTTACGTTATATAAAATGCTAAACTTTTTGTAATGGCCATCTGTTGTTTGTGATTCATGGTTTGGGTCAGAAGTGAACAATAAAAATGTTTTCCTTTCATGGGGAAACAGCTGAACAGCACAGAGTTTAAGTTTCATTACCATTTTCAATCTCTTTGACTTTCTGATATAATTTTTCTCAGCATGCTCTTGCTGGTTATTACCTGCATTGGACAGAGAAATCATGTATGAAATTTATATGCAAATAACTCGGTGTGATAGCAGATTGTCTTCCACATACAGTATAATCTACTAATCTAGATTGAAGTTTAATATTATTGTTCCTAGTTAAGATGATAAGAATTTCATGGTGGTATTTTAGATACATTTTGCTTTTGTATCTGATAAAGAACCATGTAATGCCAGATATAACTATGTAGAATTTTGATTATTTTTTTTTTCATATAACCCTACATCATTCTTAATTTGAAGTAAAATGGCAAAAGCAATATATTTATTATACTAATTGCTGTCCAGTATTTTAAAATAAAAAATAATCATACTGCAAGTGAATTTGGTGTGAGATGCCTTGAGAATAATTGTTTGGGTTGTTGGTTGTTTTGTTTTTTTCCCCCCCCCCCTTCTGTTTGTATTATTATTATTTCAGGTTGGAAAAATATCCAAAAACAAAAAGAAAAAGCTGAAGAAAAAACAGAAGAGACAAGCTGAGCTGTTAGAAAAACGCCTGCAGGAAATAGAAGAACTAGAGCGAGAAGCTGAAAGGAAAAAAATAGAAGAAAATGTAACCTCGGCTGTACCATCAAATGAGCAGGAAGATGAGTACCACCCAGAGGTGAAACTAAAAACAGCTGATATAGAAGAGGTAGTAGATGAAGAACCTGGAAATGATGATGGTTAGTATTACTTGCTTCTATTGACCCTGAATTTATTATTTCAGAGGGGAAAGTATTTCCAGCATTGTATCTGGAAGAACCTCCAAACAAAATCTCCAAACTGTCCTAGATCATTAAGTTTCATTTTCTCCTGTAGGTAAAATCGTAACTTCAATGTCTAAAAAGGAAAATAAAAATCAAACCTATTACAGAAGTGAAGAAAGATGTCAGTAGCAATCTAGCTAGCAAATCCCACAAAAGAGCATATAGAAGATTCAACAGAACTGTCAGTTGTCATACCAGATTAAGAGACCTATCTGAGTATCTTGGTGAGGTAGAAGAAAAATAAGATGAATTTGTACTCTGTAACATTAATGTAGTTAGTCATCATTGCTTCCCCCCTTTTTTGTTACAGTGTAATTATTGTAATGATCTATAAGGTAATAATAATTGCAGCTTCTTCACTAATATTTTTTGGATGTCCTGTTAAACTTCTTGTTTAGTCCCTGTGATTTGGAGTATAATTATGGTCCAGCTCCATTCTGACTTCCCTGGTTTTCTTGTTAACTTTCTGCAATTCTGATAAAAATGTAACTATTGAAACAGTCTTTCAAATTGGTTCAGCTGTTACTGGGAATTTTCCTACTTCTATGATGACTCCCTGTTTGTTTGACACAGATGTAGTTTGTGAAGCTTGCTTTGAAGGCCTCATATATCTTCGCTTCATGAGATTCTTCTCTTCTGAATTGTTTCCTCCTGAATCAGTTCCCATTGTCTTATTTTTTCCAGGAATCTTATTAGTTCTTTCCTCCACCTTTAATTTAGATTTTAAGGTCTCTGCATACTTCATTGATATTCAGTGTTTCCTTTTATCAGAAGTCAAGAGGTTACCTAAAAGTTAAAAATTATTAATTTCTTATTTCAAAATGGTATATTGATGTATGATCTAATGTATTGCTCATCAAAATATTTCAGGTGAAGCAGAAGATCAGGATGAAAAAGAAGACACTGAAAAAGAAAACACTGAAAAAGATGATGATGTTGAGCAGGAACTTGTCAACACTGACCCTACAGATCCTAAGTGGATAGAATCCCCCAAAACCAATGGCCATATTGTGAATGGCCCATTCCTATTGGAACAGCAGATTGAAGATGAAGACGATGAAGAGGAAGAATGTCCAAATCCAGAGGAGTATAATCTTGATGAGCCAAATGCAAAAAGTGATTACTCTTATAGCAGCTCCTATGAACAGTTTAATGGTGAATTGCCAAATGGACGTCATAAAATTCCAGAGTCACAGTTCTCTGAATTTTCAGCTTCAGTGTTCTCTGGGGCTCTAGAATCTGTAGCTTGTGGTTCTGCTGTTTCTGAAGGATCAACTGTAACTGAAAGAGAGGAGAGCAGCCCATCTCACGACAGGAGCAGAACAGTTTCAGCTTCAAGCACTGGAGATTTGCCAAAAAGTAAGTAGTGGCATATAACATGCTTAAAGTCTCTGGGAGCTGTAGGTGATATCTTATGTAGAATGTGTAGTGGGCTTAAACCATATGTATATGTTTTATCAGTGTTCAGTGACACTTATATGCAGATTTTGCTTTTTATTGTTTGGGGGTTATTTTGGTGAAAATTCAGTACCAAACCTTACGGGTAGGTTGTCACACACTTCTTTCAGTAACACAAAAGGACTTTTCAGTGACAGACAAAAGCAGTCTATCAGACCACTTCCCTGAGTTTGATTATGGAGTTTGCTCCGCGGCAAGTGGTACTGACTTGTCAAACCCACAGGTGAAGTGTTTTAAATGTGTTCAGTTCCTGGGCTGGTGCCAGACCTGCTGATGTCCCAGCCTGCTTTGTACTTGAGTCTGAAGAGCATCCACTGAAAGATGGTGCCCGTGTGCCAGCCTCTGCAGTCAGAGCAATCTGTGCACACTGCCCCCAGCTGCTCCTTTCCTGGGCACTCCCCAAGCTTGGGGAGGGAGGTGGCATATGGGGGTCAGAAGAACCATAGCTAGGCTTAGGCTATAGCTGCAACCCACTACTGGGAACCCTTTTTTCATTGCTGGCTGATTTCATCTACACTGAACATTTTGCTTATTGAATCATACATGTGAATGCAAAACCTCAATTATGATTATTTAAAATTTAGTTATCTTAGAAGACTTCTGGCAAAAAGGCAGGCCAGATACCTAGAAATGAAGAGGAAGCTGTTAAGTTAGTTTAAAAAGTCCAACCCAGTTTCAAGAAAAATGAAAATGTATTTGTTTTGAATGGCTTTTAAAAATGGAAGGGGGGAAAAAAAGCCACTTAAGATTTGAGGTGATGTAAGACATTTGTCAGGTAGCATGGGTGTGCTCAGTTCTACAGAAAGAGAAGAGCATAAAAAAACAGAGGCAAGTAAGTGGACAGTGGTTATGTTAAGAAAAAATGGTAGTAGTCTCAATAAAGTCACTAGCTTACCTAAGCTTTAAGTGAATTGTATGATTTTTCTTACATTCAAATATGGGAGTTTGATATGTGCAGCTTGGAACACCATGCAAAAACATTCCCAATTAAATTCTCCAATCTACCATCTTAAATTTTAAGAGGAAAGCAGAACTGTAATTTTTTTTTTTTCCCCCTGGTGTAGAACTTTTTTTTTTAAGGGTGTTAGATAAGTTATTGTAGATGAAATATTCATATTGACAAGTCATTCTGCACAGGAAAGAGAAAGGAAGTTCATAGCTGCAAGTAAGCATTATTCCCATAGTTTTAGGGCAGAAGGTGATCGTGAGATCATGTAACCTTGACTTCCTTTTATAACAAGCAATAACACACCATCTATTAAGCCCAGTAACTTTTATGTTTGCTTTAAATTCTATTTAAAAAACAAACAAACCAACCTGTTCTTGATTTGGAAAAATTAGATTGTAAAAAATCTAGTATGGTTGAATTGTGTTCCACTGGTTAGTACTCCAAATTGCCCCAGAAGAACTCTCACAAGTTTGGATTTGTCTGGTTGCAGCATTTGGCTGTTAGATCTTGCTGTGGCTTTTCTCAGTCATACTAAAAAGTTCTGTAATATGCTGTGTTTTCATTCATTAATAGTTCTTTTCTGTCTCAAACAGTCCCTCTCTTAACCTTTTATTAAAACTCAACAAGACAAAGTCTTTGCTTCTGTATGGCATGTTGCCAGACATCAACTTTTCTGTGTTCAGCATTGTTTTGGACATTTAAGTTCTAGTTACTGGAACTGCTCAGATCCAGATTTTTTGCCTGTAAATCCTGTTTATTGAAGACATGGAGGGTGAAATCTTGGTGTCAATGCAAAGAGATGGATTTTTACAATTCACTTAAATATCTCCAGGGTATTATACATAGGTTTTATAGTGACAATGATTAAATGATAAATATGTGGGTTTCAACCTTAATAGAGAAAATACTGAGAGACTGAATCTGTAAGCGGATAGAAGAAAATGAGATAGCTTAGGGAGAAGGATCACCAAGCCTGCATCAGTGTTGCTCCAGATGAGGTTACTATATTTAAATAGAGATGTATTGAAAAGTACAGCCAAGTAGAAGAAAATTCACACAGTTTATTACAGTCTGACAGGGAAGGTGATCTACAGGTAAGCAAGAAATGTGAAGTAAAATACAGCTGAGTAGAGCTGTATTTCTGCAAAGTGTCAAGATCCAGGCAAATAAGTCTTCCAGTGTATCTCCATACACTTTATAGTCCATAAAACAATGTTGAAGAGTTTCCTAGATGCCTGGTAGCCTTGTCTTTTGTGCTGCTGGTAACATATAGAGTACTGTATAAAAGCAGAAAGCCTCTACTGCTGCTTTCCTGGGGTGATGTGTAAAATCCTCATGCCTCCAGAGAGTAAAGCTGGTTTTGTTGTCATGGGAGCAGCTTGCCTCCATAGCTGGAGGAGCAGACCTAATTTATTCCTGCTCGGTGTTACCTCATCATGATCAATTTACAGACCTTTTGTGCAAAGGAAGAAGAAAAAATAGTAAATTCTATCATTGCTCAGTTCTACAGAAAGAGAAGAGCTGAACATTACTGATATTAATGGCATCAATAACAATGTTTGGTTAAACAGTAATAAAACATTTGAAGGTAGTTAGAAGAAAGATACAAGAGTTGTCAGCTGTTCAATATTTTTAAATGGTGCTACTTTTCCGTATAAATTTAGTGCCCTTTTCTTGAATTGAAGTAGACTTCATTTGTTCCTCTGTCTAGGCATTGTTATATATTATGATGTAACGTGGTCTCATGTTTTTGGGATACTTGCTTCATTCAGTGCACAGACCAGTTTGTGTTTAGCGGATAAGTTTTTAAATTGATAAGCTATTTTAAGTTTTTAATCTTTTTCAAGTTTTCACTTCATGACCAAATGCCCTTAAGATAGATCTGTTAATTTCCTCATAACTTTCCTCCTTATTCCACTGTTTGAATGTTTAATAAGTATACTATCATGCTGAGACTGTGAGAAGAGGAGGTGATACTTCTCAGTTTTACAAAATGAGGAAATGAAGCGAAAATCAGAAGTACTTGCTAATTTTGTGTTCATTTTGAGCTCCTTTGGATGCTTTTTTGAGAGTACTGACTAAAAAGTGCACTTCTTTTCGCTTCACTTTCACTTGTGAATGATCCAGTTCAGAACCATGGGTCTCATTTCATCTCTTGGAAAATGAATTCCTGAGAAAAACACAAAAGTGTAGGCACTGTTACCTTGTTAGGTCTTACTGTTAGAAGGCGGCTGAAGAAAGCTGTTTTCTAATGTCATATTCAGAGGTCCTTCACCAAGGCATGTGGGAAGGATTTATCTAGCACTATCTGGTTTTTTTGTCAGGGCTACTCAATTGAGAAAGGTCTTGTTATTTTGTGAATAATGCATGTGATTGTGTTTAAAAAAAAATAAATCACAGTACTATGCAGCCTGCTCATAAGGGAAGACTTCAATATTAAGCTTACTAGTTTCTGTCTTTTAAGTGCTGAATTGCAACCTTAATCTCTGAGTGAATTTACTTTTATGCCCTATATTTGTGCTGTTTTTTAAATGTGAGTCTTGGACTCCATTCCAGCTTTTTTAGAAGACTGTTTTGTTGAGGTTACTGCCACTTCTGCTTATCCCTGTCTTTTCTTTCCTTCTCTCCCCCTTCTTTTCTGGTTGGCTGGTATTTCAGTGCCCAGATGGCCCATTCGGGCTTGCTGTCCCTGCAGCTGAAGATCTTTATCCAATTTCAGTCACTTGTAACTCACCATTAGACAATCTGTATTATTTTAATTTGTTTTATGCCTGTTATATTTTCCTTTTCCAGTTCTTAAATCAGTTTAACAGATCATCATGTCCTCATTGGTGTCCCAAGTACCTTTTGGGTCTTGCACCTCTTTCTTATCTTACCACCATTTTCCAATTCAGTCTTCATAGGTCTGGGACTAGGAAACTGAGATCAATGCTCTGCTGCTATGTGATCTTTGATAGCTGGTTCTATTCTCCCAAGTCAATCTGCATTCTTTCCAATGCAGTTGAGGAGCTAGCAGGTGGTATGTCAAAACAAAGAAAAACAGCAGTACTTCACTGTAGTTAGTATTTTAGGGTCCTCAGTGTCCCAAGAGCCTCTAAAGACTTCAGGAGTTAATTAAATTTCTGCTTTTTTAGTCTGACTTATACGCAATGCAAATAAGACCTTCAGAGAACTTTGATTCAGCGGTGAATTATCTGTAAAATGGGTGACAGTCCCCTAGACTCTCAAATTAGCCAGGTTTTGCTGAGTCTTTCTTCCTCTTGGGACAGATTTAAAAAAGAAAAGAAAAAGAAAAGGGGGGTGTCAAGCCAAATGTTATTTACCTCAGCTAAGAATGGAAGTGCAGAATTTTTCTCAACCAAACTGTTCCAAGAGTGTATCTTTCATGTGTAGTTCTTGGAGTTTGGTTTTTATAATTTTCTGTCTGAATCTGTTCTCGGCATGGACTGTTTTTTATTAATAATCATTTGGCAGTCAAAGAATGCAAAAATTTGCACTTGACATGTTTAAGGATGTTAAGAAATCAAGGTAAGAAAAGCTATATATGTTGCTTTAAGTTCTCGTAACATTCAGCAAATTATTTTGATGTCTTCAGTGCATTACAAAACTGCTTGGAGATAATGAACAGTATGCTCAAAATACTAACTATTCTGCATTTTGCATGTATCAGCAAAAACTCGTGCTGCTGACTTACTGGTGAATCCACTGGACCCAAGAAATGCAGATAAAATTAGAGTTAAAATTGCTGACCTGGGAAATGCCTGCTGGGTGGTGAGTAGAACTACAGCATCTTAGCTATTTAGCCATCCCTATCTGCAACAGGCCTTTTTACTGTTAATTTTTTTCCATTAATGTGGTTCTTTCTCTTTTAGCATAAACATTTCACAGAAGACATCCAGACAAGACAATACAGATCCATAGAGGTTTTAATAGGAGCAGGTTACAGTACACCTGCTGATATCTGGAGCACAGCATGTATGGTAAGGACAATGCAGTGTGTATTTTACATGAGTAAACCTCCTCAAAACAGTTGTTTGTTTAGTGAGGAAACCTCATGGGGATGTTTCTAACATTTTGACACAAATACGTTATCAGAAATTATGTTGTATTAGATAGCTACTGATGATTTTTGCCCTTCCGTTTCTCCATTGTTCTTAATCAAAAGGAAGTATTTTGGAGAACGGGTTCTAATTTTCTTTGATGCATTGTAAACTCGAAGTCAAAACCATGCAAGTTTGGGGGAAAATACGTGTATGTTTTAAACGACAGAGTCTAAGTGAAATAGTACAACCACATGCTTCCTTCCCATCTTAGAATCTGTGCAACTATTTTCCATTTCTTTGCTATTTTCCATTCCTTTTTCTTGCATAAAGTATCAAAATAGTGAAATACTTCAAATGCTTGCCAAGTGTAGTGAAAACATCAGATTAGGGTTCTAAACTTTGAAAAGAAGGAATCTAGTATATTAGTAAAATATGTTGTAACATTCTGTAAAATTAATTTTAACACAGTAAAGCTGAAATTATACATTTTAAAGAATCTTTAAAGAATGGAAAAAGTAAAAACTTTTATCATTCAAGTTCCTGAAACACTATCTTTGTAATATCCATTTGAGGACAAGTAAGCTGCATGCATCTTTTCATTAAAGATGGCTTTGGAAATACCTTTAGAAATATCTTTGTCTATTTTAAAAGTGAAAACTTATTCAGATCTTTATGTTTTACAAATACACGTCTGAAAAGAGAACGTGTGTGAGGAGGAGGAGAAGACTCAAATACTAGACACAGTTTGCAGGCGTGGGCGATGAGAAGAATTGCAGAGCTCAGAGGGAGAGGAGGAGGATTGAAAAGAACATAAAATCCTACAGATACATAAGCTCAGCAAGCCATGTGTTGGAAGTAACTAACTCATAAGTAAAATTGCAAGTATGTTTTCCCTGCAGTTTAACACCAGCTTTTGCTTTAGTACACAGAAAAGAAGATCCAGTTCCAAATTTGCTCTTAATTTGGGGGCAAAATGTGGAATTTCTGTTATGTTGAAAACAAAGCATAGAAAAAAAATCCACAGTTTTGATCCTTAATTCTTTGAATTACTCTTGTCTTAACTAACTACAGAATTACTATAGAGACTTCTTATACCTTTACCCGGTATTTTATAAACCAGCTGAACTTGATACCTTTTTATGATATTGCCTATCCTATATTTGTCTTCCTTTAAGGTTTTTACCTACCCCCTGCTAATTTAATATAGAGTTTTGTAACTAAAGCCACATAAAAAAGGCTGAAGTCTGTCTAGGATTGTGTTTAAATAAAGTGGGGTACTTAATAGCAATATTGTATCTAGGGAATATAATATGTTTACAATGCTTGGGGTCATCCAGCCCCTTACATTTTAGTTCTTTTCCATGTTATATAAGCGTTGCTGCTGGTTGGCTTTCTGGGCTGCAAGTG